AAAAACATACTGTAGAAGGTAGCCAGGAATAAGACTGAAAATATAAACAATATATATGAAAATATAAACAACAATAGGAGATGCTTGAGGAGAGGAATAAGTAAACTATTATACTTTATTCTAGAAGTATGAAATTGTAGAATTTATGACTTGAGACTTGGAAATTCATCGTTATTCTTAAATAAATATCTAGAAAATATTCATTATTATGAAAAAGATTCATTAGTATGAAATTAAATATGACTTTAACTTGGAATCAAACATTAACTTCACTAATAAAGATAGGACAGCATCACATAGGATGGAGAAAGGTTTATCGTTGAAATTGAGGATAAGTGCAATATAATGAACGTATGGCTTGTCAACAAAAGAGATAATGCTATTTTTTTTCTTTCAAAATTCTCTTTTAGGAGATGAGTTTCCTTATTAGAGAAGACAGAAACATATATCAGAGTATATAATATATACACACACACACACAAACACACACACGATAATATATAGACACACTTATAAAATTTATCCATTTTCTTTAGTTTTCTGCATCAGAAAATAGATAAATTATTTCTCCCAGAGCAGCTTAGTGCCAGTTCCCTAGGCCTCACTTCTCCATAAAGTGACACAATGAAAATCTAATATCCCCTGCCTATGTATTGCAGGAAATGAACCCCAAAATTACAGCTTAGAACTTATATAGGGTGACTGACTTATCCTTCTTTCAGAAGTTGTAGAGAGACCTTTGCTCTGGAATGTACAGAACTCCCCTCTAGAGAGAGGAGGGGAAAGATCTCATTTCATATCCTGGAAGGTAAATAAATGACTCTAAGGAGAGAGAGCTAAAACTCCACATCTTTCTGGAGACCTTTATTTTTAGGGTTGTTATTCAATTATCCTTTAACCCAGCTTGCTAGCAGTCTTTGCTCAGAAAGCCCTGAACATGCAGAAACATGAGAATATTCATGGAGTATTGAGTCCTGGCATTACCTGTATCCTTTTCTTGTCCTCACTCATTTAATTCTCTCTCTCCTTTCCATATGTCTCTTAGGGAGTTAGCATTACCTTTCTGTCCTTCTCATGATATTCAGAGCATCTTAAGGTGCTTAAATGGAGTTCTTCATTCTTGAATTTCTTTAAAAAAGCTCCTACAAACAAATGGTGTGTTTTTAATAGAAATCTATGCAGCTTACCCTGTTTGACCTGCCGTGAAATGTAATGATTTTTACTGATTATGATTTACTGCATTTTGGGCATAGATACATTCCTAAAAAGTGTGAAAATTCATTTTTTTTTTAAAAATTGAATAGTACAATATTTACATGAAAGAAATACTTTGTTTAATAGAACCATGTAGTGAATTCTTTTATAAAGTGGTCTCCCACATGAAAAATAACTTTTCATTGTTACTATTTGAATTTTTTGTCTATGCTGGAATGAATTTTGTGTTATTTGTGAATTTATCATAATAGTCTTGATGGTAGGGTTTTTGTGGGATTGCCTTAATTTTTGAATCAATAAAAATAAATCATAATTTTATAAAGGGAAAAGAATGATAGAGAACAGTTTTTACAAGATTGGATGAGTCTTATTTTGTGTTTCATTATTTATGTAAACATTAAACTTCAAACTCAAAATCAATGAGTGAAAACTCTTAATTCAATAGTGAAAGCTTAGAAAAATATGCGAAAGTTTTAACTAAGAGATATCTTAGGAATCACAAACTACTTAATGAAGAAAACAGGCAAGCAGTTACATATAGAAGGGACTAAATGAGCATTATCTGAACTGTAAAAGAAAACAACATTTACATAATTTTTTCAGAAATATAGTGTGTCCACTGATTGCTGTTTTTGGTCAGTTGTCCAATTTCTGTCAACTTGACTTGCATTTGACTTCTATTATAAGAGCAATCTGGAAACAAATTCAAGAGGTGTGCTCCCAAATTATTTTCTATTTGTCTATCTCTTGGATGCTCTTAATTTTGTACATTGAGAATAATTCCATAGTCTGGTAAATTTTCCTTATCCAGAACTGATAAAATTTACAGTTAGAATAAAACCCCTCTCATTTTAGATAGCTGTGCTACTCCACTGAAGATAATATTATTATTTTTAAAAGATTTGTTTATTTATTTATGCAAGCACTGGGTACAGTCAGAAGCACGGGAGAGTGAGAGAATTCACCAGAGCCAGAGCAGAGAGCAGAACAGGCAGACTGACGAAATACACTGCTGAGAGGAGCAGCGGGCGGCAGGAGAGGTCTGTGCGCCATGTGGGACCCTCACCCAGGCGTCCGGGTATTGAACCGACGCTGCAGAGGCTGCAGGCAGCTTCGCAGCCCAGCGCTCAACCACTGCACCACCTGGGAGGCCCTGAAGATAATCTTATTGCCTAGACACATCATTTCCCCAATATTGCCTTCAATACTACCCTACTTGCTTTTAGGGTTTATGTAGCTTAGCTGCATTCTGCAATGCGTTATGAAGGACTCACAGTATGTGGAGATTTCTTTAAGATAGTCTACTATCTTTGCAAGTTGTCTGGATTGTTTTGGGAAAAAAATGCATAGTACAATATATACATTTTAAAAATACAAACCTTTTTCTGTTTTGTTCCTTATATTGTAGCAATAATTTATTATTGCTATCTACAGGATTCTACTCTTTATTGAAGCAAGTAGTTTTAAGGTTAATTACTTATTAAAGTACCCTAGGCAGGGAAAATATGTACCTACGAAAGAACTGTTTGGTTTGTTGGAAGTTTAAAGTTTCTGATTTTTAAATTTTTTTCTTATATCGTTATTCATTTTTGTGCAATAAATGAATAGATCCCCATAAATCTCCCACCAACATATCACCCATGAACCATCACCGTAGTCCCTTGTGCTCTTCCCTTTCCTGTTTTGAACCCTCTCCCTCTTCCTCCAAATATATGTATTATATATATAATATATATTATATTTCTCTCTTCTCAGACACATGTACAAAATTGGGTGCAAGTTTTAATGTCCATAGGCAATTTGCATGCATTACCTCACTTAAATCCCATTATGACCCAGTAGGTGAAGTAATCTAATGTCTCTGTAAGAGACATTACTCAATTGGTCATGAACATTGCTCACCCAAGATGAATAAGTTCAGGAATAGTGCAAAAAAACCTGGTTTGGGGGGCACCTTGTGGTAGGTAGCAGCAGTGGTGATATCCTTGGTGGGTGCTGAAAATTAAAAGAGACCTTCAGTATAAAGTAAGACTAAACAAATGAAACAGAAATAAGTATATGACCACAAATTTACTGATAAAATTAAGTCTGCTAATTAGTCACAAAAGAGGACTTGATGTGGCTGTGTGTATGTGAATAATACTTTCAGTGTTTGCGTGTATATGTGAAATAATACTTTCAATGTTTACATTTGAAAGTCTAAGGGAAGAGCAAGTTTCTGTGATTTAGAAAATAAAGGGTGTTTGATGTATGAGTTGTATTGTTTGTTCACTGTGTCTGTAGACAAGCAAACTGTGAAAAGTGACTTTAAATTTTGCCTAGACGCAAGGAAAGCCTTCTGAACATCAATGTGATTTATTTTTTCACTCAGTCAGCAATATTTATGGGTACCTGATAATGCCAGGAAGTATTCTAAAAACTGGAATGTTCACGTGACTATAGCTGTCAAAGTTCCTGAAGGTCTTGGGCTGGCATGTGTGTGTGTGTGTGTGTGTGTGTAGGTCACAGACAAATGCATGGCTAAACCAGACCAATAAGAGTAACAAGAACTATTCAGAAAAAAATAGGGTAGAGAGAATGGTCCACAAACTACTGTTGATGGGCTGATTATTAAGAAAAGTCTCTCTGGAAATTTATTCTGAGATTTGGATGACAGAGATAACCATGCAAAAATGGGGGTTGGAGTGAGTGGTGGGGACCCTCAGTTCAGAGACTCTACACAGAGTCTACATTCTACATTCTACACAGAGAGAATAAGCTTGTTGAGTTTGGAGCACCTGGAGTGGGGGGGAGCACCTGAAGGTGAGGATGCATTGGTAGGTGATGAAGTCACAAATGGAGTAAGGGACAGCTCTTGTAGGACTTAATGATTCAGGGTAAATTATCTGGTGTTTATTCCCGTGTGGTGGGAAACCTCTGCAGGCTTTAGGCAGGACACTGAAAGGTTATGATTTGCTCAGCCTCCCATCTGTGATATGGATTAATAATATATTCTATCTCATAGTCTATGTTAACATAAATTCTAATTTTTTTGGTGGAAAAAAGCAACCTATCACACATTAAATGATGGATAAATATGCTTACTAATGGTGGTTATCATTTTTCTTAATAGTAATATATTATGAAGCTATAAGGCTGAGATTTTCAAAATTTAGAAAGCAAAAATGCCACTTACTCTTAATTAAATATCTCCTATATCCTTATCTTACCTAATCTGTACTCCATTCTGCAGAGGAAACTAAGAAACTTATTCAAGGTCGAACAGCTCTATGCCATGCTGCCACACAGAGCATATGTGCCCTATATTCTCTCAATGGCCAGTGGTTGTAGCATATGATCCCTTCTCAAAGGTCTTCTGGCTTTTATTGAGCCTAGATTTTATAAGTAATTTGACACATAAGCCATAAGTCACAAAAACAGTCCACAGTAATTTGTTCTGGGCATCACAGTATTTGACCAAATGTTCCTATAAAGTAATATTTATTATTCAAGGACTGTCCTCTATATCTCTCCATTTTATATGTAAGCATTGAGAAGAAATTTATCAAGAAATAGCAGTTGACTGATGAAAAAGTAGTGCTAGAGGCACTGTTTAAATTCAAGATGTTATTATAATTGTTATTATTAGATGGATTACTGAATGATGAATGTGGTAATAAAAAGAACATTTCTCCAGCTACCTAAACTGATGCATTCTGCACAAAAGAGAACTTTTCTAAGGCATTAGTACAAGGATAATGATTAAATGAAGTGCTTTATAGTGGGGAATTGAAACAAACCTCATCAGGGTGGCTGGGTACATAGGTTTCATCAACTGGAGAAGCAGACACAGACAGTGGTGGTCCTGCTCAGTTACTTCTGGCGCAGACAATATGAGCCTTTGCTAAAGCTGACGTCTGCTTTTATCTCCACCATTGCCTCTTTGTGAGAGCCTTTCTGGCTCCAGCTTTGTTAGTGTTTGGAAGTTTATCAAAATTCTGTTGTCTAGAGAGTAGAGAAATACTAAAAATAAAGAGTAAGGCAGATATCTGTAGTTAATATAGAAAAAAATAAATGGTTTTCTTTCATCTGTCTATGCTCCTCTATCATTGAATCTATTATAAGAAACTGCTTTACTAAAAATATTGCTATTTCTTCTGCTTGAATTCTAAACATATTTCCAATGAAAAAAATGACATTGGTATTACTATTTCTCAAAAACTTGTTCTAAAACTCTAAACCTTTTCAGTCATTCTGCATGTGCAATGTATAATGTGAAAATGTAATCTATACGCACAAATGTTTCTCCTTTTCTCCTCTTATGCATCTTTCTTTCTTCTCATGAGACAAGAATCAGGGCTTGGAATTTAGAAGTTTTTTGGTTATTTTGGTTTCTTTGAATGCTTTCTATGTATCAAACAATATTCTAAGTTTATCAGTAAACAAGAAGAAAAAATATCCGTTGTGGAGTGGAGGCTTACTCTAGCACAGTGACGGATTTAATAAACTATAAACATAAGAAATACTTACATTACATTGTTTTCTAGAAGATAGTGATTACTAATGGAAAAAGAAAAAGGAGAATGGAGACTTGAAGGAGGTGAATCTAAGCTGTTTGGTATATTTTGATAGATTGTTTTTGTTCAAAATGATTATATACTAGTGTTCAAAGTAAAAAGTAGTTCTAAGTAGTGTGCCTTAACTGATTAAAACTAGCTATTAAAAACTAGCTATATACACCAGCCCTGCACAACCCTATTTCTTGTTGATGTAAATCAGAACCTAGAATCAAGTTGCTTTAGACCAGTTTGAGTCCTTAGAGATTTTTTTCAGTCATACCCATTCTGTCACAACTGGATATTCTGGCTCCAGCATAGTGCTTGATATGACCACTGGGATTGATATGACAGCTCTAACCTGGAAACAGTGGCAAGATTCCATAGGGAAAACTCTAATATGCTAGAAGACACACTCTACAGAACTGTTAGGCTACAGTCTGTAGGCACTCAGAAAAAAACTGCAGGGAAGACTAACATCTTATTTTTCAACACACAATTTCTTGGAAGAATGAAACTAATTTACCCACCCCCTAAACACCAAACCTGGGGAAATCCTTTCAACCTTTGAAGAGTTCCAAAGAGATCTAGGAGATAATAAATAAATTTGTGCTTTTTATAAAAATTCTCAGATTGAGATCACTTGCTGTCAAAACTCTTCTTGAATGACTTACCCAGAGGACTAGACCCCTGCTCCACAAAATGTAATCCTAAGAACAGGACCAGCAGCAGTACCTGCATGTACAGCCTCAGCTTCACCCATATCTGCTGAGCAGGAATCCGTGTTTTAACATCTCCCTCTCCAGCGCCTTCCCTAGCCCCAAGTTGCTCAGGTACAGAGCAAGACTGAGATGCACTGAGTTAGAAATCTCCTGCCAGAAGATTTGCAGAGCAGACCTGTTCCTACTTTGACTTGACCTTTAAATCCCCAAAATACCTGTGAGAAGCCATCATGTTTTATCAGAACTTAATTAATTCTGTGCTAACAAGTATTAGATAAATTTGCTAATTACTGTGTCTAGGGCCCTGTTTTAAGACACTTTGAACATTCTCTGAATACATGTTTCCTTTACAGGGAGGGTTGGATGATGATTCAAATGGGGCATGGGGAGTGGTGCCAGCACATCAAGACATGCTGCATTGTGCCTTCCTCCCCTGTGGGAAGAAATGCTAATATTTCAGTTTCCTTCTTCCTCCACTGGAGAACCTGGTTCTTCCTAAGACAGTATTGAAATATTCATCCTGTCACACGTTTATTTGACATAATAGCAAAGATTAGGGGCTGTTGTGCTGTGGGTGAATCTCGGGTGGAAGAAGAGTAATATTGGGAAAATTCTCCAGTTAGCTCTAATACTTTATTTTTCTGTATTCGATTCCATTTTGCTCTATTTTGACTTTGATATATCAACCATTCCCTTCTCTGCCTTTTGGCGCTCCCAAGTTCACCTTATTCATCTGATCATAAAACTGTGGCATTGCAAGGAGCAACTGTTTCTGCTCTGCATTGCCTGACCCACCTTGGTCCGTCCTTGGACTAAATCACAGATCTCAGAAGTTCACCACACAGGTTCCCATTCTTTGTCTCGTTTGTGAGATCAAATCCTGTGGGGGTAATAGCACTATTATGTCCATGTTGAGAGTAGGAAACCAATTCTGAAGAAGTAAAGGATTTCCTCATGCTGACACACTGGAGCTTATTATTAATACAGACACATCCTGATAATGGGCAACTTTAAAGAGATTTTTAAAGTATAGTTTTTAGATCATTTTGAGAAATCATAGCTAACATTGTAGAATACATATGTCCTATCAATAATTGTTCTAAAGATTTATATATATGTTAATAACTTATTGTATATAACATTCTTATTCAAGAAGCACTGTGATATAACCATTTTATAGATAAACAGACTGAAGCACAGATCATTATGGGATCAAGAAAAAATAATTAATAAAAAAAATTAACAGGCAGCTTTAATAAATATTCTGCAGAGGAGGAGGAGTGAAAGGAATCAAAACAGGGAAGAGCACAAAGGACTATGGTGAAGGTGCACTGGTGAATTGGCAGTGGGAATTTTACGGGGACTACACCTAAGAGGAGAAAGCAAACATTTTGCAAAAATAAACAATGATGTAAAAAATATATTATATATATAAATTAATATATAAATTTTAATATATAAATTTAAAAAAGGAAACCTAGATGGTACCAGAGTTGGATACTAGTCTAGACGGTGTCTCCCCTCTACTGTGCTGTCTTTCAATACTAAAAAATATGTAGAAAGTATTTAAGAAGACACAAATATGGCTGTTTTCAATAATTCATAAAGCCCTAAAGAAGGTGTAAGTTTTGTACAGGGCAGGTAGCTCAGTTTTTGAAGGGTCAGATGTAATAATGTCTTTTGTTTGTACAGAGCTTTTCTCCAAAGAGACCAGTAATTTTCTTCATATCCCTATCTACCTCTGACCTGAGGCCTTTTTTTTTTTTGTTAATAAGGAAAAGATTAAAGGAATCAAGAAAAAAATGCATTGCTCTATTTAAATGATCAAATGAAGTGGTGATTGCAGCTGAATACTCAGTTAAAAACCTTAGCAGTCAAATGTGAACCAGCCTGTGATTAGGAGGATTTAAAACTCTCATGCAAATCTGTGAGACACAGGTCAAGGTCCATTCTGCATCAGAGATGATTGTAGGTGGATGTTTAATGGGTGGATGATATGTCTTCCTGAAACAGATAAAAATGCCTTTGAAATGTAAATAGACATTTACTTACTTCTCAAGGCCTGAGCCTTCATATGTGCTTTATACTCACATCTGAGGAAGAGGAAGAGTCTGACAGTAAAAGGAATAATCCAGGGCTTTGTGAGAAGGGTTGACACACCCTAACTGCAGTGGAATTGATATACACATGACAACACAGCTCACTTGGGAGAGCTCACTGGTATCCTGCTTCAGGCCTTTTATTACATAATAAGTAAACTGAGCAGAAAAACATCTTGAATGCTCCCCAATAAAGATAAATATACCCCAGGGCAGTCATTAACCAGAGAGGGTCCCCGCGATCCGGCTGATGGTTCACTGTAGCATCAGTGTACAGATGTATTGTAGAACTCTGGGGAACTTTCTCCCAAGGAAAACTTCTCTTATTTTGCTTCCAGGATCCAGTGCTTTCATTGAGTTTAGAAGTGGAGGAAGGAATTGGTAGAGGTCATCTGAGTATAATTCCTGAGCCACTCTGAGCCTCCAGGCTATGAAACTTCCTTAGTTCCCATACAAATCCTTAGAAGTTGTTTATAAAATGAAGCACAGTGCAGCTCTAGCTTTCACTGTCCTCTCTGAAACTGAATGGAAGGTGAGAAGAAAGGAAGGAGTAGAGAAGAAGTATGTACATTTATAGAGCTGACCTCCTTGGGAATCTTTGGGGTCCTCTGGTTCTGCCGATTCCCTCAGAGTTAACTCTCGAGGATGCCAGTGACCCAAACAGGTCTTCAGCTGCCTCCTGGGACAGGCTCAGTGTTACCAAAGTTGTTTGAGGCATGACATTGGCAGCAAAAGGGCTTCGGTCTCCATTTCTATACAATACTATGGTGTATGTACTTATAGAAGATTGTTTTTAAAGAAATCAAGGAGAGGGGCCTCCCCGGTGGCGCAGCGGTTGAGCACTGGGTTACAAAGCTGCCCGCGGCCTCTGCGGCGCCGGTTCGATCCCCGGCTGCTCCCCGGCCACCTGAGGAGGGTCCCACATGGCGCGCAGACCTCTCCTGCCGCCCGCTGCTCCCCTCAGCAGTGTACTTCGGTCCTTCTGCCTGCTCTGCTCCCCGCTCTGGCTCTGGTGAATTCTCTCACCCTCCCGCGCTTCTGACTGTACCCAGTGCATGTGTAAACAGAACAAACAAACAAAAACAAATAAATAAAGAAATAAACATGCCTCTATAAAAAAAAAAAAAAGAAATCAAGGAGAGCTGGGATATGGGCACTTTGGCTATAGGAATTACAGACAGAAACATTTCTAATCATTCCTATTTACTTTTTATTTTTTTTTTTTTGGTTATGTTATACCTCTTTGGAATCTTTATGCATGAGGTATACAATCAACAATGCCTTATTTAACACCCTCCAAGATTTCTCCATCAGCCAAACGCGGAATGCAAATAAAAATCTCTTGTTCTTAGGATCTTCATGGGAATAATGTCATATGTGCATGCACACACACACACACAGAGCATTCTGCTAGCATTTACATGTAAAATATAACAAGATAGAACATGTAAAAAAATTACTTCCTAACTCTTTACTCTTCTAAATAAAGTAAAATTTCTACCAGTAATATAAAACAAAGTGAACCTGTATTGCCCATACAGAAGCACATATACAGTAGAATAAATTAAATACATGTTTTAAATTACTGGCTTAAAGATAATGTTATTTACCAAAGACTTTGTAGGCTGACACAGGGATATTTACAGTTATTTTCAAGAATTTCATACTTTAAGTATCTCAAAATGGCCTCTCATACTTAGGTAGTAATTATCAGCAAGAAAACAATTGGAATAAGAAGCATGCATACCTTTTTATATCACAAATATGAAACATATTTTTTGTAAGGTACTGGCAGTAGTGATCTGTGAATTAAAACCTAGAATATCCTTCATTTTAATGAGATACATTTTGGTATAAAGTGCAAGGACCTGAATGGGAGTCTTTTCTCTACCACTTGCTAGTTGCATGTTCTTGAATAAGTCATTATAATTGCTAAACTGTTTCATCTATGGAAATGAAAAAAATAACAAATTTTAGGGTTATTGTGAGTATATAAAGTATATAGAGTATGTCAAATGCTTAGCATTTGTGTAGTTCCTTTAAAAGAGCTATGTCTATTTTTAGGAGCATTTCTCCAAAAACTGTCAAGTAATATTGTGTGAGTTCTTTCTGCTCCTCAGAGGAACAAACTTTCCTCTCTCTTCTGCTCCTTTCCTAGCCTGGCTCTTATCAGAGGAAGTCATTTGCTCACATTGTTCAGAAACAGAAATTCACAGGGCTATGTTTTAAAAAACTTGGGAAATGTGCTGAAGCAGCAGCATATTAAAGGTAAAGTACTCCTTTTACCTCCTGAGTAGTCTGAGGTAGGACTTGGTATCTCAGGACCTCCAACCTCCACCAGTTACTTGAATCATCTTATACTCCCTGCCCTTTATCCCGGAACGCTTACCTTTCCTACAGGAAGAGCTTCAGCATCCTCATTCACCTAGCAGCTTGTACTGGAGTGTTTCTCAAACATGGACTAGGACGCTCATGCTACACAGTGTTGGAATACACCGTCTTTCTTACTATTTCTCTTTTTCCTTTTCTTCTTGCAAAGGTATGCATTCCTTATGTTGAATTTTCCTTAGATTGCAGCAGTAAGGTCTCATCCTCAGATCTGAGAGTGATATACAAATGGATTCACAGGCAAGGTGAAGAGAAGGTAAGAACTCTCATTTAGAGATTCTAGGATAAACTGTAGTCCCATCCAACTTCCTTGAGACCATTGCTTTGAGCTGTTAAATACCCTTCATCAGTTTGTTAACAAAGCTGGTAGTTTGTTCCCCACTTGGCCTTTTTTTCTTTAATTGACTCAATTTATCAGTTACTTTCAGTTATTAATAAATAGAACTATTTCATTTTTCAAAAGTTGAAAACTCTAGTACAGTCAGATACCAAAGTTTCAATCTTATTCCTTCCAACTTCTTCTGTCCTCAGATTCCAAGGTTTGCTGGGGGATGAGGTATGGAATTTACCTTTTCATTACTCCCTCTGGTATTTTCCTGCTCTCCATTTGGCTCTTCTATTTCTTCTGGGGTTGGGTAGAGTAAAGAAAAAATGAGACAGATTAAGGAAGCACAGAAGGTTACATATACCAGAGGTGATTTGGAATTTCTCTTGACTGTTTTAATGCTCTCAGTCCAAATGTTGTTTCTATTTTGGAGTGTTTTCCTTATGGTTCTCTTTGTAGATTTCTGTTGTAGACATGTCTCCATTGTTTGAAACTCCTCTCTAGATTTCAATCCCACCAGACTGTCTCTGGGAATAACATTGGAAACACCTTGTTCCTCCAAGTATGCATACTGGAATGCCTATATCTTGTCCATGGGAAATGAACACACTCACCTTGCTGTCCAAGGAAGTGAAGCCCACTCCCATTACAACCCTTCCTTTTCCCTCCCCTCCTGCTGTCTTCAAGCTAAACTGTGTCCATCTTCTTGAGTATATAATTTTCCAGGCAACAGTCACAAGTCTCAGTGTCTTAAACTCCAGTTCTCTTTGTGGTTGTTAGAGTCACCTTACTTTCAATGTGGCAAATGTCAGTTTACCCTCTGCCATTGGAAGGTGGGAGACTCAGAGTGGGTGATAGTATAGGATTTTCGGGTTTTTGGTATCTTGAATGTCCTCTATAAGTGATATTTCGCTGATTATTCTGCAGAGACTCCTATAAAACAGAAAAGGTTTAACATCTTACTATACTTACACACAGATAGATAGTATGTAGTTACTCGATGAAAATTCTAAGTAACATTCTTAAACTCTTAAACTTAAATATGGTCCAATCTTCCAGCAGAACTTTAGAGTTATAACCATTACTGATTCTGAAGAAATAGACACTCACTGGTTTGGTCATAAATCATGTGAAGAGAATTAGAAATTAATAATACCAGTTGCTTTTGTCAGTGTGTGTATGTGTGTGTGTGTGTGTGTGTATAAAGATATAAAGTTTGGAGTTTGACTAGTAGAGATTAATACACCTATAAATTAGACCTCTAAATAGCATTTCCTTTCCCACTGTCAGTTTGAGTTTGAGCTTCATATATGGCATAAGTAAATAAGACATATGTTCTCTGCCTCTCGTGCTTCATTAATTGTTATTTGTTACAGATATTTGCATAAGGGAGGTTCCTGAGTCTGTAAGAAAATTGTGATTCTGACAACTGTTTAATAAATTAACAGTTGAATATATAAAAAATTACAAACTGTGAACATAATTTATTAACTTCCACCAGGTTTTACTTATTAGCTTTCACTAAGATTTTCCAGACCTTCTCTGGGCAGTAAAAAGCAATTTATCAAATCTTTTTTCAAGAGGAATTCAAATCTTCTTCTACAAACTATTCTTGGCCACTCTAAGTGAAAATTGTTTAAAGCAAGTACATTTAGAAATGTGCTAAGGGGATACTTCAGAATCTTGGTATAATCAGAAATAATTCCAGAAATTCAAGATGGGAAGCTTCTTTTTATTAATTAATTTTGTTTGAGGTGCTACTTTTATGGGAGAAATGCTTCACTTTATACTCTAAATATTTCCATAAATTTTACTGAATTTCTTTGCTCAGGTCATGTTATAGAAGAATGGTTAATAGGTTTTATGACTCTGACCTTCTGTGTATCTCATATTCTCAGAATAACAAAGTAACCTGAAGGGTTTCTTTCTGACTTACTTGTTTTTGGGAAAGATGGACAGATGAACAGACTATAGATTTGGGTTTTCTTAAAAAGGAAATATTAACTTCTTTTTATTTCCTCTTTTATACTTAAGTTACTGAAGCAGTCTTGCAGTTGTCAGGAATTGTCGTTTTCCAGTACACTTGTACTTGAAAAGTAAAACTGACTATTGGAAAAATCTGTTTCTAACATCTGGAGATTAGCAGATAACCAAAAAATGAAAGTGTTGAGTTGTTTCTCTTATAATTTAAGATATGTGGAAACTCACTGGAGAGTTTGCCAGTATTTGATGGCTTGTATGCTTCTTGTTGTTGGAGGTATATATAGTTTATATATTCGTACGAATCAAAGGATCATTTGACCTAAGTGTCAAAACAATAAGTGTTTTTTCTTTTTTTCTCTGCAGTGTGCGTAGTGAGTAGTTTGGTAAAATGCATGTAAATTTTTCATTGTTGAGGTACAGAATCTGTGGACTTCTAGTGAGTCCTGGGCCTGGGACGCAACGGTGAGGGAAATCAGACATGGGGGACTGTAATGTCCAGCATGCAGTAAATCTTTATTGTCTTAGTGCTCATTATATACTATTTTAATTGCAGCAGGTGTAACATCAAAGCATGCCATGTAATGATAACACGTATGAATGATTAGTCTACTTTCTTACTATTATCTATTTACTTCAGACAGTAGGGTACCAGGTGGTTAGTTCTCACGCACATAATCTTATTGCCCCCTAGCTAGAGCCTGGGAAGTCCGCTCATTATTTTTGTTATTCTCAGACTGTGGAGATGTAGGGGCCTGACTCCACACAGGTCACTCTCCGGGCACTCAGCACCAAGTTCTGTCACCCAGAGGTTTTCCTCCAAGACGCGTGTGTTTTCACATGCCTTAGGGACTCAGGTCAAGGCCCTTCTGCTCACTGCGCGGGGTCTCTCCCAACAAAAATCAAGTTATTGAAACATGCAATTTTTGGTAATGAAGCAAAAAAAAAATTCCTTGACAATTGGAGGGCGGGCATAGATGTCAGATTCAGGCTAGTGGAAATGGAGTGATTCTCTATGATAATTCTGATAATTACACTGCTGGGAAGGTCTCATGGCAATTTAAGAAAGTTGGTTATTCTAGGGATCTGTCTGGATATATTCTGGGAGAAATATGTTTGCAAACCTGATTTGACTGAAAGGTTAGGTCTACTGCCAATTTGTGAGTTCATTTTGGGGTAACCTTTGTGGAGATGCTTATGCTAGGAAATGGTTCTCTGGAGGTTGCATTGTTTCCAGGTTGGAAACTTCTGACACATGCACAAAAACAAGCATACAGTGCTATTTTTTTTTTTTTTGTGATGATGGCCTGTACTATTATTAATTCATTGCCTTTCAGCTCCAAATTTACCCTTAAATATATACCCTCGGATAATAGAGGGGGTTTCTTTAAGTAGCTCTCCTTCATACTGAACATAATGTTAACCTTTCTCAGTAGAGGGCACTAGAAGGACATTGCAGGGAAGAGACTCTCCAGCTGTTTCCTGCTAAGGAGATGGAAGTGGTGGTCTCAGTGGTGTCAGAGTACAATGATCTGATAGAGCTCTGCTCCAGTGATGAACTCAGAATTCTCAGCAACTTCACAGTCTCCAGTTGGTGATAAGTTTTTTGTGCCTCTCTTGAAATAGGAACTGGTGTCCCAGACTTCCTGCCTGCATCAATGTCCAAAGTCTTTCCAATTTCACTGACTCAAGATTCCCTTTACAACCTGGAGAGGTCTCAGTTTTGCATGCCACACCACTGGTGCTGATCCCTTGTTCTTTGCCTCCATTCTGGCAGGTTGCTTCTGCTTAGCCATGAGCTGCACACCAACTCCAGGCTATACAAACTAGCAAGCTTTTCTACACTCCTTTGGATTTAAATGTATCTTTAATGGGTTCTGAAACCCAGCCTGGGAAGGGGACCACCCTTCTAAGTTTATTCTTCTTTGGGTTGTCTAACTTAGCCCAAGAGTACCAGATAGAGTTTCCTTATTTCTTATAGTCACTCTTTCATCACAGTTTATTTTTTATAACAGTTTTTTTTTTAATATTTCTCTGTTTAACTCATACTATTTTCTGTCTCCTGATTGTACCCAGGTTGCTACATATCAAACATTAACAGTTCCCATGAGCATAAAAATGTGACTTCTTATAGCATCAGGATGGAAATTGGAGACACTTTTTTTTTTCCTTTACCACACACATCTCGGTTTTTCTATCTATAAAGCTAAAAAAAATTGCTCCTTCTTTTAAAAGTTTATGAAACATAATGTTACCTGTTGTTTGAGGAAATACTTGCAACTCCTTAAGTATTAATGTCATGTTTAATTACATGTATACACATGAAAAACTATTTACTTCAACATGTATTTTCATGTTTCATGATTAGAATTTAATCCAAAATCTCTATTTAAATGATACTAAAGAGCAAGCAAATTCTAGCATTTATGTGAATGACATTTATATAAGGTGATTATAAGGGGTTTGTAGTCTGGAATAATTTTTATTAAGTATTTAATTAATTCTATTTAAAGTAATATGGTTTAAATGTAAGCATGATTTTTTCAAAATATAAGTATATTTTCAAAAATAATTTTATCAAACTTTTAACATATACTTCTTAGAACCATAACTGCCAATAGTAATATTATCTTTCATTTATATCCTTTATTAGGTCTGAGTGCATAACTCAACATATTAATAGGCTCAGTAAAGGGGAAGCTACTATTATCACCATTTTCAAATGACTGACTTAGTCGTGCAGAACTCTGAATGTGTATGATGCATGCAAAACTGTTATTCAAGCGCATAGAATAGGGTAACTGTGCCTTTGGAATAGAGGACTTAAAGGATCAGGATCAGGGTAAGAAAAACTCCTACTTTATTCAGTTAAGATAGTGTAGAGAAATGAAGACTCACCCTAGAGATCTTGATTCTGGTTTCAGTTTACTACTAACCTACTGTTTGAACCTGAGAAAGTCAATTAACCTCTCTGAGTCTTGGTTTCATCCTCTATAAAGTGAATGAATCAAATTAGCTGCTCTCTATGGTGTTTCCAGTTATCAAATATGATTCCATCTCTTCTGGAGATTTACTTTTCATGTCTGTGAGATTATTAGCCAGTTCCAAACCAAGGGAATGATATGTTTAAGCAATTGCTAGCTTCAGATTTGGTAGTCAAATTAGCAGTATTTCAAGCTCTGCAATTTTTATATATGGATGTAAAAGACCTTGCTTCACAGATCTGACATGTAGAACAGAAGCAAAACAGTATAATCTGTTTCTCCAGGAATTGAGTGAGGACGTTTGGTCATTTCGGCAGTGCAGCTTGGCTTCTGGTAAAAAACAATGTATCCAGCTTTTAAAAACTACTCTTGGGCCTCCCCGGTGGCGCAGCGGTTGAGCGCTGGGTTGCTCTGCGGCGCCGGTTCGATCCCCGGCTGCTCCCCGGCCACCGGAGGAGGGTCCACATGGCGCGCAGAAGCAGTGTACTTCGGTCCTTCTGCCTGCTCTGCTCCCCGCTCTGGCTCTCGTGAATTCTCTCGCCCTCCCGCGCTTCTGACTGTACAGTGCATGTATAAACAAAAAACAAAGAAACCAGCAACAAATAAATAAAGCATGCCTCTATATAAAAAAAAAAAAAAAAAAAAAAAACTACTCTTAATATCTCAAGTGGAAAGGAGACAGTGAAAGCAGCAATGAAAGTGTTCTCTTGAGTCCAGTTTAAAACACATATTGAAAATCTATTAAAGGTTTACAATCTCTTATTTATAAATCTGAACTCCAAAAAGCTTTAAAAAGCCTGCATTCATTTAGTGACAAAATCAGCCTGAAATGGATATGAGGTTATGTGCATTTTTTGTTTATCCCATTTAATGTGGATACTCATTTCTCTCACTGAAGAGTCACTGTATTTGTTTTTTTTTTATAATAAATTTTATTTTTATATTCCCCATACAATTGCAACTCCCTTATTTTGACCCCAATCCCTCCCCTCCCGCCCCCTACCCCCATAGAGTGTCTCTGGTTCATAGTTTTTTGTTGATTTTGATTTTCACTTTCTTATAGTTATTCATTTTCCTGGTCCCTTATTTAAGTTTTCTAGATTCCTGCTATGAGTGAGACCATCATGGTATTTTTCTTTTTCTTTTTGGCTTATTTCGCTGAGCATGATCCCTTCCAGTGCCATCCATGTTGCTGCAAATTGCATGTGTTTATCTTTTTTGAATGCTGAGTAATATTCCATGGTGTATATGTACCACATCTTCTTGATCCAGTCATCTATTTTTGGGCATTTGGGTTGTTTCCAAAGCTTAGCTATTGTAAATAGTGCTGCTATAAACATAGGGGTGCAGGTGCTCTTTGGAATTGATGTTTCTGTGTCCTTTGGGTAAATACCTAGGAGTGGAATTGCTGGATCATATGGAAGCTCTATGTTTAGTAGGTCCAGAAATCTCCACACAGCTCTCCATAGTGGTTGGACCAGTTTGCACCTCCCACCAACAGTGCAGGAGAGTTCCTTTTTCTCCACACCCTCGCCAACATTTGTTGTTGCTAGTTTTTTTAATATGTGCCATTCTCACTGGTTTAAGATGGTATCTCATGGTAGTTTTGATTTGCATTTCCCTGATTACATGTGATGTTGAACATTTTTTCATATGCCTGTTGGCCATTTGCATTTCCTCTTCGTATTTGGTTTTGGAGTGCTGCCTTACAGCTCAGCAGGAATGTTCTGTAAGATGTGGTTCATGACCTGTGATATGGTTTTTTTTTTTAATTTAAATTTTATTTTTATATTCCTGATATGGTTCTAAGTTTTTAATGTTTTCAATTCTAAAGCTCATGCGGTCTCAAGCGTTTTGATAATAGAATTTGAATATATATGTGACAAGGGCAAAGGCTGGAGAGAAACTTGGTGAAATGCAAAGGTAAAGAGGATAAAGTCACAGTCCTCAAAGAGTTCCTAGATGTATTCACCCATACCATATGGTATATTTTATAGTAGAGTTGTAGATAACATTTGAAGGCACTCACAGAGGGAGCTTTTTATTTTTGCTGGAATTTCAGGGCATATCACAAAGGCGGGTATATTTGAATGGTTTCTGAAAGATGAAGAGGTATTTCTCTTAGAGAAAGGCATTCTAAACAGAAAGAACAGAGAATTGTGCATTTGGTGTCTTGGAGGCCCTGTAACTTCTTGGGGGTTGTTTTAGAGAAGCCATGGAGAGGATGGATGTTATGGAGCTGAGTGTCTGAAGACGAGATTGGGGTTATTATTCAGTATCTTGTTATTAGCATTGCTAGTAACTATCCATTGACTCACTTAGGTTCATGTGTAAATGGTTTGTTAAAGAAGCATGTCTAGGGGTACCTATTGGGGAGTGGGGTAGCAAAAAGGGAAGGGCAAGGAATAGATAAAGGAAACTTATTAGTCAAAGTTTCAGAGATGGCTTTAGCTTGACCCTGAAAGAGGACAATATAAGGCTAGGTAAGGCATATATTTTCTAGCACCTCTAAGTTACTGGGTACAGACCGTGGAATTGGAGCAGGGGAGGGGGTAGTGATGTAAATTCTCAGGCATTTATTCCTCATGTGCTCTCTGGAAAGCAATGTTTACTGACACAAGACGGTAGGTGAAGTGCACTAAAATGCTGAAGGGAGGTCTGGAAGGAGGATGCAGAGTGTTGCCATCTTCTGCCACACCATTTGATGACCTCTTTTTTCTCAGGCTTTATACTGAGTACTTCAGTTTTTTCATTTAATTTTTATAACAGTTCTACAAGGTAGGGGTATTCTTTGTTTTGAGGCGAGATGAAATTTGGTAGGTCAAATGGACGGTGTGGTTTGTTAGTTGAGGCTTGCTTAGAACTAAGCTCTCTTGTCTCCCAATTCCTTGTGGACAGCAGCAGGTTTCCCTAAGTCCTCATGGTTTCCCATTCACCTCCACTTTCTACTTAAATTCTAAAAACCTGTTTTACAGTTGCTTCTTGGCAAACATGTACTCTGAAATAATTGATCTGAAGTTTGAGAGTTTCCACCCTGTCACCAATACCAGATAGCCAACAACAGTTTAAGAGAATTGTGATAAAATACTTCCAGAAAAGTATCTTCTCTTTTACTAGGTTTAGTCTTTACTTCTAATGAATGTATTTAAAGACTAGTTAATAAGGATTTCATAATACAATAAAGCAGAATAATATCTCATTTAATTTGACCCAATTCAGAATATTATCATATCAGGACTGGTGCTTATTTAGCTGGTGCTATGTTTTGATTTCAATTTGAATTTCCTTCAGAACTTTGTGGTAATTTTTCTATGGTCAATTAATGAAAAGAAGATAATTCTTGAAAGTGTTGAATTGTTTTTAGTTCATCTAAAGTTTGAAAAATTCTGTCCATTTCTGGTGTGTCAGAGCCCGCGGACTGGTCAACGAGGTTCTCGGGGGGAGAGAAGCGACCTGAAGAACAGGGGTACACCATGTGGGGAGACACATACACTCTCGGTTCGGCTAAAGCATGTCTCTTCTACTTTCGGTTTCGGCGGGGCTTTATAGCTGGGGACCGGAAGCGGAAGAAGCAGGCCAACAGTGCCTAGCCAATGATTAAACACATGACCTTATTTGGTGCGCCAGAGGTCGTCATGCACACTGGGCCGAAAGGAGCACAGCCAATCACGGAAGGGGGAAGTATCCTGATGCCATGAGGTAAGGCGCCAACACTGGTGGTTAAAAGACACCATTTTGAGTAGTTCCTTGCAGGATAGTCAAAAGAGACTTTTCAAAGAATTATAGCTAGGTTTTTGGAGGTAGATGTGTACATGTGTCACAGCACTGAGAATATATGTCTCTTTCTCTTTCCCACACATAGGGTGTGGGAGGGAGAAAGACAGAGAGACAGAGAGAGGGACCAAAGAGATCAATTTTTATGTTCATGTATTTAACAAATATTTGTTAAGGACCTCTTATATACCAGGCAGCAAATAGTCAAGATTTCTGCTCTCATGGAATTTACCATTTAGCTGAGGGAAATACATTATGATTGTATCTTATCTCTTTCCTTGCAAACAAAGCAAACAACCAAATCCTAAGCTCTGTGTTTGAGAATCTGGGGTGTTGGGGAGATGTTTTCCTAGGTAATCAGTCTTTTTATAGTATGTGTATAGCTGTAAAGAGAATAAATCTTTTGAGAAACGAGCTCAACACATATTTAAAGAGCATTATTCTATGCCTCCCACTATTAAAATGAGTGACAGTAATTTCTTTGTTGGCTACAATGAGCATGCAAGCTGAAACCCTATTAAAAATATTTTTGTGTTAGTGATTGTCTCAAAATTCTACTAAACTGTCAAAGTGAAATTTATGGATGAAACTTCAAAATAAAACAAATTTATATAGAAGCCATAAATTGCATAATTAAGTTTTTTTTTACATTATTGCTGAATGGATATTTTTTCTTAAAAACACTTGGGGAAGAACATTGACTTCTAGTGACTTCTTTATTCATGTGAAGTTATTTGTATTTGAGTTATTTTAGAAATATTTTATTGCCTGTAGCAATTATGAGATAGCAGTACTGTAAGAGTTTCTTTTTTAAACACTTTTTTTTTTAAAACCCAGTTTCATTCCATCCCATCTCTTCTCTTTGGTGAAAAGAGAGGATTTTCTGTCTCTTCTTGTTGTGTTTCATCAGTTGTATCAATATTGATGAGCCAAGAGGAAAATGCACATTACTGAAAAATAAATCTGTTTCTGTGTTTGCCTCTCAGATTCATCACCAGAGCTGTTGACTGGGAAAATCACAAGTTCCCTGCCAAGTTGGCTGTACTAGCTCTACCATGACACTCTAAGAAGGAACTTGGATTTAAAACTAGGGAATAGTAGGTACAAAGTATTTTCACTTCGCCATGTTCAACAGGAAGGAATATGGGTTTGAAATACATTCATACAGTTTATGTTATTTTTTCCTCTCCAACAAAGAGAAGAGCTTTCATCCTCATTCACCCTGTCCTATTCATTCTGGACTCCCTGCTCTTTCTACCATATTCTGTTCAGCCCATCCTGATTTGGCACTGTTGAACAGGATTTGAATTTAGTTCTCTCCACTTATTTAAAGCCAACCCCCTCTCAAAGGACCAAATCAAATTTTATCTCTACTGCTAAACTTTTTCCTGCCAATTCCAGGGCACAGAGGTCTCTAATCTCTGTGAATAGCTTTATGACCAGATTCAGACTTAACATTTTCTCCAAATCTTTTCATGTATGTTAGTTTAATTCTTCCAATTATTCAAAGGCAGAAGCTGATTTTATTTTTTGGATATATGTCTCACGATGTTGAGTATCCCCGCTTCTGTTTTCCACACTTTTGTGTGAATTCATTCAACTGCTGAAAAAATTCCTTAAATACCTAAATCTCAGTTGGATGCTATAAAACACACACACACACACACACACACACAATGCTGCAAAATATAAGCAGCTCCTGCTCTCCAGGATTTTATAGTCTAGACAAGTTAAGAAACATGAAAATATATGTAACAAGAATGACACCAGAGATGCATTATTCATTCTTTTCTTCATCACTGAGCATAGCTCAGTTGGTGAATAACATATTCACAGCCCCTGCAGTCATAGGGCTTATTGCCTATAGAGCTGGCGCATGTCATAAGGGCTGTAGAGGACACAAGGACACAGAAAGGGGCATTCTCTTTTGTCCTCTTTCTCATTCTCTTTGTCTGTCTTTCTGAATGACAAAAAACAAGAAAGAAGGAAAATAAGATAATAAGTAACTATGAAGAGGTTGAGTTCTATTTGGTTATTCACTGCCTCCAAAATGGTGAGATGTACAGAATTTATAGTCCAGATAATTGGAGGTATGGAGAGTAAAAGTAGAAATGGGAAGACAACAACAAAAATGTATCTTCAAGACTCAACTTTGGCACTGAAGACCTTAGGATATCAAGTGCAAACTCACAAACAATGAAATTCAATGCTCTCACACACCAGCTTCAGAAAGTTACATACATTCTTTTACTTTCCACATATTCTATTCCTGTTACACATTGACCTCTCCTTTCCCATATTAAAGAAATAGTTCTGCAAAAAGTAAGCATTTGCCAAATGGACAATTTTAGCTCACATACTTTTGGGCTTCTGTGTTGAATTTGATTCTGATGATGTCTGTTTTTCTCAAGAGATTAGTTTCAAAAGTTGAATTCTTTTTTTTTAGAAGCATGTTTTATTTATTTATTTATTTGTTTGTTTGTGTTTGTTTATACATGCACTGGGTACAGTCAGAAGCGCGGGAGGGTGAGAGAATTCACCAGAGCCAGAGCGGGGAGCAGAGCAGGCAGAAGGACCGAAGTACACTGCTGAGGGGAGTGGCGGGTGGCAGGAGAGGTCTGTGCGCCATGTGGGACCCTCCTTCGGTGACCGGGGAGCAGCCGGGGATAGAACCGACGCCGCAGAGGCCACGAGCAGCTTCGCAACCCAGCGCTCAACCACTGCGCCACCTGGGAGGCCCCTCAAAAGTTGAATTCTAAGATACTATAGTGTATCTGTTTTTCCTCTGGACTCATAATCCTATTGTTATCTGTTGCACAAGTATGCATTTTCTATTTCACAGTCAATGTATTATGTACTGTCCTAGGTTGATCTCATCAATTCTTCTGGCTTTAAATTTTGCCCTTATCTCGCTTCATCTGTATATCTTTTATGCCCTTCAAGTTCCACATAGCCCAAACAGAGCTCTTCATTTCCCCCTATAAGGACTCCCTTTTCTGTCTTTTTTTTCAATTGATAATAGTGATTTTCTATCTAGTTCTTCTAACCAAAAATTTATTTATTTATTTAAAAGATTTTATTTATTTATGCAAGCACTGGGGTACAGGCCAGAGGCGCAGGAGGGTGAGAGGATTCACCAGAGACAGAGCAGGGAGCAACAGGCAAAATGACCACAGTACACTGCTGAGGGGAGCAGCGAATGAGGCAGGAGAGGTCTGCCTCGCCATGTGGGAATCTCCCTGGCCGGCCGGGAATCAAACCAGCACTGTGTTCAACCTGCTGTGCAACCGGGGAGATCCTAACCAAAAATTTAGGTGCAGTTCTTAAGAATTCTGTTTCCCTCATCAACTATATCTAATCAGATATTCCAGGGGAGTGTTTTAATATATTACTATTTCTCTGTCTTTATTACCCTTGTTATAACTACTTTGCTTGAACTCTTGCAGTATTTTTAAATAGTCTGTGGACATTCAGTCTTTATTTCTCCTCAACTCCATTTTCTAAACATCTAATAGACTAAATTCTTTAAAAAAAGATCTGATGTTCACTACCCTATGTGTAGCCTGCAATATGACTTACTTGTCTTCCACATTAGTTTTACAGCTGTGCGATATGACTCTCTATCAGTTCTTCTATCAGTTCCTACTTCTAATCACCTAAGCTCTCTACTTAGCACCTCCAAAGCACTGTGGAGCTCATTGTATGAGTCCACATCTCTGTGTCTTTGCTCTACCTAAAATGCTCACTCCTTCACTTCCTTCTCTTATCCCTTCTTATTATGGCAACTAGGAATTCTTTCCAGTTTTTTTTTTTAATATTTATTTATTTATGCATACAAGAAGTAGGGTACAGGCCAGAGGTACAGGGTGGGGGAGAGGATTCATCAGAGACAGAGTGGGGAGCAGAATAGGCAGATCTACTGAAATACACTTTTGGGGGGAGCAACGGGTGAGACAGGAAAGGTCTGCTGCACCATGTAGGTAGCTCCCTGGCTGGCTGGGGATTGAACTTGTGCTGCAGTGGCTGCAGAAAGCTTCATAGTGCTGTGTTTAAAATTAACCCTTGTGCCACCAGGGAGGCTCAGATTTTTTTTTTTTTTAATGGTTGTGACCCTTTAGGGCTCAGGGTAACCTAAAAGAATAAAAAAATAATTCAAGGGTTGTCTATTCTAAATAGCTCATATACATGGAATCATCCAACATTTGTCCTTTTGTGTATGATTTATTTCATTTAGCATAAAATTGTTTCAAGCTTCATGCATGTTGGAGCATGTATCAGAACTTCATTCCATTCTATGGATGGATAATTGTCCATTGTATGTGTGTACCACATTTTGCTTATCCTTTACCCATTGGTGGACTTGGCATGTTTCCACCTTTTGCCATTTATAATACTACTATGATCACTGGCATACAAGTATCTGTTTGAATCCATTTTCAGTTATTTCAGGAATATATGTAGAAGCTTTAAAGTGTTCCTTCATCATAGTAGTATATATGAATAAACTGCCAGATGTGTGCATCATGCCACTGAGAATTCTGAATTTCCATAACAGGTCCTACTCCTCAGAAGAAGGTCATATTATGGAATCATTCATTCTTACTACTTGTAAATTTTTCCCTCACTCAATAGGATGCACATGACTTCAGAACACCTTTATTCAACCCCTAAATACTCTGGCAGCACAAACATGGAAATACAGGAACGGTTCCTGGAATGTGGCACTTCCCAGTGTGAGAATCTGGAGAGAATTAAATTATGCCAGTGATATTTTCTTGAAGACTCTCCTCAATTAATCACATCTAAAGTTGGCTTACTTTCCTTGAG